CACTTTCGAAATGCCGCATAAATTCCTCCTATTTTGGCGCTTTTAATTCTTGTGATCGCTTTCAGGTGCTGTTTGTCAATTTGACAAGGCTTCTACATTCGTTCTTGATGTCAGTTGTGAAAGAAATGATCGATAAAGGGTTTCTGATAAACCGCTGTGACAGATGCAGCCGCTGTGTTACGTGCACGCACGCGAGGGGGAGTCAAATTTGTCTGGGGCACACATGTCGCATTAGTGATGGGTCGTTCTTGAACGATTCGTTCATTTTAAACAAATCTTTTGTATGACTTCTGGAGTGAATCATTCATTTGCGCATGCTCACATTTGTGCAAGTAGAGCCTGCGTGCTACCTTAAAGTGGTCTGTTTCATCCAGAATGCGCACGTGTGGCCTCAAACTATATCGATATGAACAATATTGGATAATACCGCATCGTGTTGGGGAATCATATCGATATATCCCCAGAACCCGATATACCGCCCAGCCCTAATATGAATAATACACATTGGCAGATTATATTTGAATGGATTGATAGACTTCCATAGACTTCCTTGCATGTTTTACACATTAACTGGATTGTTTCACTATACTTGTGTGTATTTACATGTCTAAAACATAAAATAAGCATTGGGTGGTTTAAAACACTGCATAATTGGGATAATATGACGCGCCTTTCTCTAGCTCAGTGCCTGCTAACGTGCCAAAGTTTAGTTTTGAATTTTTTCATGTCATGCTTGTCCAGCTGGATAACAAGTAAACACCAGCAGCACCTGGGACATTACGTTCCTCACTTCAAAACGGAACAAAAGCAGGACTCTGATTTACCCTGCTGTTACTCCCTTCTTCACCATGTATCTTTCCTCTAATGTTACCTCCGCTCGTTTTTTTGCTCTGTCCTGTCTGAGGCACTGAACTTTGCTGGGATCAGTGCACAAGAGAGGCAGAGTGTGTTCACTTCGCTTCGCGCTCAACTAAAGTTTGTAGCCCTACACCAATGTTGACATTTTTAGTGCTATTGAAATTCTGATTACATGCACCAAAACTGACAAATTGATTCCTGTTTATATTCTGCTTACACATCATTTCATGTTAAACTAAACTGTTTTTATAGTCTATCCTAGTTATTTTTGTATATTTGGTATATATTTAACTGTAGTCTTTTAAAATGAAATAATGAAATGCTTGTAAATCAAACTTGGCCATATAGTGTTGATATTTTGAGAGCTCCCAAACAAACATGCACATAACACAACATGGCCACACCCCTTTTGAATATCTACATATCTGTTGTTATTAGACATAACCCTTGTTTCTGATTGGCTCCAAGTTTGTTTTGGGGTGTGACCTGATAGATTGATCAAAAGGGGTGTAGGATAAAAACTGAACTGGCTGGTTTGTGTGTCCTTTTAAGTCAGTGTGTAGGTTTTGGAGAGGATCCTTCACGTCTGTCCTTGAACCAACAGACACTTGAAGCTGTGCTTAATTCCTGAAATCTCTCCCTGATGTGATTTATCTGCATGACTCTGATCTCAGGCGCGAGTCTGAAATTGCCTGTCCTTGTCTGCGGTGTTACATTTGTGTGATCTGTTTGTCCTGCTTTGCCCTAATGAAATTTCATTACTATGAATAGCAGGACTGTGTGTGTGTGTGTGTGTGTGTGTGTGTGTGTGTGTGTGTGTATGTGTGTGTGTGTGTGTGTGTTGAATGCCCTCTGTTCTGGAGAAACGTTCTCTTTCCTGAAAAGGTTGAGTGAGTGATCAGTAGGGAAAAGGACAAACTGGAGAAGACTCCACCCCTCTCTTAAAGACACACCCACTTGTTGAATCAATTGATTTGGGGCAAAGGTCAAGTAAATTTGGCTTGGATTTATTTTGCTGTGTGCACTAGCAAGGTCAGGATTTCAGAGGAAAACTGAAGAAGAAACATTAAGAAAATGGAAATTTTATGTACTTGTAAGTAGTTTAATGTTGTCATGATGCTGGAATTCGGTACCAATGGATACATCGGAACATTTAAGCACTGGTTTGCCATTGTGTTCACGTGCTCAACAGAAATGACTGTGATCGGCCTTGAAGGTCAACAGTTCACCTAACTCACCACTGTTTACTGAGTGTAAACACAGATACGGGGACACTGAAGCGTTTTAAAGTCATGATTCATCAGCGGACCACTCATAAGTAGGCCCACATGGAATCTGCGAGTGCAGAAATGTCCTCTGTCTTTCACAGTATGTCTGATAATATTTTTTCTTTTGGAAAAAATCTTATTTGTTTTATTTCAGCTAGAGTAAAAGCAGTTTTTAATTTTTTAAAAGCCATTTTAAAGACAATATTATTAGCCTCCTTTAAGCTATAATTTTTCCTGATAGTCTACAGAACAAACCATTGTTGTACAATAACGTGCCTAATTACCCTAACCTGCCTAGTTACCCTAATTAACCTAGTGAAGCCTTTAAATGTCACTTTAAGCTGTATAGAAGTGTCTTGAAGAATATCTAGTCTAATATTATTTACTGTCATCATGGCAAAGATAAAATAAATCAGTTATTAGAGATGAGTTATTAAAACTATTATGATTAGAAATGTGTTAAATAAATCTGCTCTCCGTTAAACAGAAATTGGGGAAAAAATAAACGGGTGCTAATAATTTGGGGGGGGCTAATAATTCTGACTTCAACTGTACACCATCTAAAACAAAGGACAAATACAACAGACACTTGACTCTCACATGGTATTAAAAGCCAGAGAGTAAAAATGGGTTTTAGACTAGATTTAAAAACAGAAAAGGTTGCGGCCTGCCTAACATGGGGAGGCAATTTATTCCAAAGTTTGGGGGCCACCACTGCAAAGGCACAGTCCCCCCTGGTTTTTAACCTTGCGCGTAGAACAGCCAAAAGTAGCTGATCAGCACATCAAAAAAAAAAACTTTACTAACTACTTAGAGAAGATGAAGTTACATCTAAATTGGCTGCAGAATATTTGTACACTATAAGAAATGGTCAATCAACTCATTTGTCGTATTTAAAAAACCTCCATGTTTTATTCCTGTTATTATTGTAACTTTTAGAGATATTGTCTGTTTTTATCCTTTTTGTCTGTCGTTTCTTATTTACTGCATATTGTATATTGCTAAATGGGACTACAAGTGGTGTCGGAGACATTATACGCCATCAAGCTGATCTGGTCTGGAGCGCAGCTCGCATGTGTTGGGCGTTTGGATTTGTCTTTGATTTAAAGTATTTTTATGAATAGTATTTTATTGTTTGTAGTGTTTTCTAATTAGGAATTCATATTGTGTGTAGATAATATCATTGTATATTTGATTATTGTGATATGTTACATATTTTATACATCTAGTCCTTTGGCAATACTGTACAAAATGCCACGCAATTAAAGCAAGATAGAGATAAGCAGATTTTACATGTCAATGGTTGCACATGGCTCTGGAATAGCATTAAAGTAAGAAAAATAGGGGATTTTTTATTTCAACAGTCTTTTTTACTTTAATCCATTGAAAAGAAAAAGTTTAAACAAATAGTAATAAAGTAGTGTTAAAAATCAAATTATGTTTTGTTTGTCGCATACAGTTATTCTCTCAAACTCCTTTGTGACGTCATCGACTTTCGCTTTCAGATTTAAAGGTCTAGCATTGCACCAGACCCTCGTAAGTGGTTTCGTTTGAAAGTGTAGAATCTATATTTTATGCACATATGCATCACTTTGGTTTTTATACTACTATACAAAAGTTATTTACACTTAAATGCACAGTATTTTGGATAACCAAGCTGGGTATTGAACATTGGTTCATTTTCATATTTTTCATATGACACATGTACAAGTTATAGCTCAAATGAAAGCTCTTGCTGGTGCTCATACGGTTCTAGCATTCTTTTTACTGAATTATATTCACATATCAAACAGTTGTCGAATGAATCACGGTGTTTCCATGACGCAGAAGTAAAAACAATACATTTATGATCAATAAGCAGCCCCAGATAGTACAGACAGCGGTCATCTCTTACCTTATGCTGTTTGCTAAAGGGAGGCGAGCAGCAAATCCGCATTTCATCATTCCCAAATGCAAAAAGCTCTCGGTTAAAAAAAAATGTTCCTTTCAAACATATTTCTGTCACGTGTCACGTGCAATTTAGTCCACACGTGAGTCCAGCTGCGCTCTCATAGCGGGAAATGGAAACAAAACCTTTATTGTAGCACATTTATAAACAACACCGACGACCCGTGTCTCCTTACAATTCTTCTTCCACTTGTTTTGGCAACACGACGTGGCGTCTATCTGCCGTCTGAACATCATTCTTGAAGCTATCATGCATATTAATGGTTTCAACCAAGTCTTACTCATGAATTAATTCTGCACACTCAGAGAAGTCATGATGCATTCGCAGGTACAGACATCCACTCTACATGCTGGAATACACAACCAATTTTCACTTTTTAGTGAGATATACGTGTCCTAATAGTGTTTATAGCAGTGTGGGACACCCATGATTGTCAACATCTGAAGACGTGTTCTGGTGTTTCGTGACTCTTTAACTATGTGCTGTGGGTAAAACCTGTTTCTATCCAGCTACAACCGCAAGTATATTTCATATAACATGTGGGAAGCACTGCACAACTTACATTTTGTGATCATATCTGGGTTCTGCTTTGTTGATATGCGATCCAAATATTCGTAGCATGAAACAGATGGAAATATGACCGGTTTGTGCTCCATTTCTATGGAGATCCCAGTGTAGCCACCTTTAATTTTTTGTCCCTCAGTTCTCCGCAAAGGTCATGTGACTGAAAACTATCAATTAGACATTGAATTTGATTTATTTCTTGCTATTTTTAAAACCATAATCACTTCTTTCTACACTGCATGCATGCTATCTTGTGCATTGATGCAGTTTTAGCATCGGTGAGCTCTTGTGTCGGCAGTACTGTTATTGTTTCTTCAGTGCATTAACTGTGTGTGTGTGTGTGTGTGTGTATGTGTGTACAGGTTTGACGGCCAGTGCGATGGCTGCTCTGATTCTCATGACCACATCCATCGCGTCAGTGATGGGCTCGCTATACCTGGGCTACATCCTCTACTTCGTCCTGAAGGACTTCTGCGTCATCTGCATCACCACATACGCACTGAACTTCATCCTGTTTGTGCTCAACTACAAGCGACTGGTTTACTTGAACGAGGCCTGGAAGCAGCAGCTCCAAGCCAAGCGGGACTAGACTCACAACAACCACAACACAAGTATAGAAGGATAACAAATCATCCGACACATGGGAGGAATAAAAGAAAATGTGACCTCTGAGAAATTTTTGTGACTTGCCACCAGGAGACCTTGCTTCCAAAACAAATGTTCATTATGTTGTGTGTGTGTGTGTATATGTGTGTGTGTGTGAGTGTGTGTGTGTGTGTAAAAACTAAACAAAAAGAGATCAGTTTAGGGGCCACAGATCACAAGTTTAATGCGTTGCGTGAGGAAAGGATCGGAAACACACATTGTTTTGCTTTTTTTTTTTCCTGTTCCCAGAGGAGTTTGTGCTTTTGATTGAGAAAAATCTGCCAGAGAGCACTTGCGAAACTCAAAGAGGGTGTCTTTTTCGTTCCCTGAGGAATATAAAATAATGGAGGAAACGAGTTTACTTGAATCCACTGGTTGCTCTTCTGGAGGAGCTGATTCCAGCAGGACTGCGTTTAAGGGTTTATTTGATCACAAGGCTCAGAGATGATTCCACTAAAAGAAAAACAGCGGATTGCTTTCACTGAAAAACGACAAATAAAGTGTAATTTTTGTTTTATGTTTACAGGTATTTTTTATTATTATTGTTGTTGTTGTTTCGGAAGAGGACCACTCATGAAACGCGTAAGAATGTGAGCTGTATGCGTGTGTAGATCTGATTCGTCTGTGACTACTTTTTTTTTATTATTATTTGTTTGTTTGTTTCGCAGTTCTGTAAATAGCTGCCGCAAAGCAATATTCCAGACTAGTTTGTGTTTTACCGTGGAAAACATTAAAAAAAAAAAAGTCCCAATCTACCGTCACTTCCAATGAGTGCTTTCGACAGGAGTTTGGTTTGTTCTGGTGCAAGGGTTCTAGTGTTATGTGCATCTGAATGGAGGTTTGGATGCTGGATGTTATGTTGGAATTACTGTAATTATGAGATGAAACTAGCAGGATGTTTGCTTTATTTCCATTTTCAGCATTTATGACTACAAAGTAAACCGCATGGTGACACTTTACTTGAAGGGGTGTTCATAAGACCAGGGCTTGACATTAAGGCCCGTTTATACTAGTGTGTTTTAGTTTTAAAACGGCGTTTTAGATCAAAAATGATCCGCGTCCACACTAGCGTTTCTGAACATTTCTCCGTCCACACTACGCCACCAAAAACGTATATCACGTGACCATTCGCGCACTCTGGGCATGCGCTTTCTAGTATAAACAGGAAGCACGTGTCTCGCTCGGCATTTGGTTATTGTTCGTCAACAAACGCCGGTTGAACAATGAACGCGATGGCAAAGAAAGCAAGAGAGGTATTTTTGTGGACAGACGACGATGTCGGGTTACTAAACGTAACAAATGAAAAACTGCAGAATGGCGCCTAAAACAGACAATAGTGCAAACAACGCTCCCATTTCTGTGCCCATGTTGTTGTTTACAGTGAAGGCTGGTCTGCTGTCTTCCGGTAGCGTTGAAGCCATGTGTTATAGTCATGTGATAGGGGCTTGACGAATAAGGGAAGGATACTCTCAGTAATGATTAAATCACACTGAACTGAGCTAAACTGAACTAAACTAAACTTACACACTAAAAACTGAACTACACTGTTCCAGTTACTATGACCATTTATGTGAAGCTGCTTTGACGCAATCTACATTGTAAAAGTGCTATACAAATAAAGCTGAATTGAATTGAAGGATACGCAATGACACAAAAGCCCCAATCAGGTAGCGAATCTCGGCAGCCCTGCCTCCGTTTTCAGATGTCTCCGTTTTCCCTCATCCACACTGAGACGGAGCAGCAGCATTTCAGAATGAAAACAACCTCTCCAGCGTTTCCAAAATGCTTCGTTTTCGGCGCTCAAACTCCGGCAGAGTGTGGACGGATGGCGTAACCGTAGCAAAACTTATGAGTTTTCAAAGTAAAACGCATTAGTGTAAACGGGGCCTAAGCTTTTTGATCATGAGCCACTGTGGTTAGTAAATTTCCAACATTACAAGCCATTCTCCATTTTCACTAGCCACAATTTTCTTGTTGGGAAATATATTTTATATGCATACATTTGACTTTTGGCATGCTAAAATGACTTGATTTAGATGTGGTGTTATGTCCACATGCCTCCTCATTCATTTCACTGTTTGTGTGTGTTGTGTATGAGCTCGCTCACTGTGCATGGGCTAATGGGTTGTGTCGCATTGCAATTAGTATTTATTCCACATGACGTTTTAGAGCTCAAATGAAAGATTTACTAAATTTATCTTCGACCACACCAAAAATAAATACATCATTATTTCTCAGCCCAAATTTTAAATAAGTTGTCAAAACAAGCAAAATATGTAAGCCGTATGTACTTTTTATTCAACAAAACCTTAAAAAAAAAAAAAAGATCTATTGTATATATATATTTTTTTTTTGAAACCTGGAGCTCTTGAAAGCAGCAGGACTGTGGGTGCGCGATCATCACTTTTTTTTTCCCAGTCCATTTTAAAGAAAACCAATCCCACATGTTGCGTTTCCTCTAGGCAATGTTGCTTCACGCAAGTAAAAGGGAGCGCGCACACTTTTTAAGTCGCGCTTCACATCACCGGAGTAATCCTTTCATTCAGTATTCACCTGCGTTCTTTTGCTCATGCAAACACAGTTATTTTTGTGCTGCTTCTCGATTCTAAGATCACATTTGCACGAATATTGGGCCATGCTTATTGTCGAACTCTGCTTTATAAGAATACTGCAATTTTAAAAAGGAGTTAAAAGTGTCTAGTCGGAGTGTCTGTCTAACCCGCCAAAGTTGAAATCTACACACAGTTGGCTGGTGTTAAAGTCAAGCCCTGCTTAAGACCCTTCATAATCATGTCATGAATGTGAATGAGATTTTATGCATGCTTATAACAAGTGTCATTCACTCAGATGTGACATTTTAAATGCAAAGATGACATTGTTTGTTTTGACAGCTTTATATAAATGCATCACAACCTGTTTTTGTCGTGACAACAAAGACCACAAAACTTGTCATAAATCTGTCATAAACATGATTGTCTTGAGCCCTTTATAAATACGTTATGAATTTTATAAGCAGGCATTTATATTTATAATAGAAATAAAAAATATTGCTGTGGAAGTCAAAGGTCCCCCCCTCCCCCCATAATTCTTCAGGATATCTTCAGTATGTGCAATGACTGTAGAGTGGAAAAACTATGACGTCACCTTGTAGTCTAATCTGCTAGCATAAAACTGGTTCCCTCCATAAAATCCCTACAGGATTTTCCCATAGGCTTTTCGAAGAATGCAAATAATAAGCTCTGTGTTCAAACACTGTTCATCACACTTACACGTTTTGTCCAGCCGGATAATCCTCACACGACAATACAACTTTGAGCACTTTTAGATCTTAAATGCAAACGCAAAAACTGAAAAGCTAACATTAGGCTATAAACAGACTACAGTGCCTCATATTATAACGCCTCACAGCAATCATGTTTATGACAAGTTATGTTGTCTTGATGATATCATGGCAAAGACAAAAACAGGTTGTGATGTATTTGTCATGATTGTATGATGTCATGATTATGAACGCTCCTAAAGTGGTCACCAACTGCATTATTTAATCTCTTAATTTATTATAACTAGTAAGTTTTGCATAAACATATAGGAACGTGTCAAGCTGTGAAATTTGTAGCTCCTTCAAGTTTTGGATTGTAATGTCCAACAAAAAAAAATCAGACATTTTTAAAGGGAAAGTTCAGCCCCTGGAAAATTACACATGATTAAAATTCTCACTATTTCCTTGCACTCAAGTTGCTCTTTATTTCGTTGAACACAAAACAAGATATTCTGGACAAAGCAGTTGGAAGCAGAAGTTTCCATACACTGTATACAAGGCACAAAAAGTCAGATGTTAATGTGACTAAACCTGTTCTCTTTTAGGTAAGTTAGGATGATCACATGCGTTTCTGTTCTGCTTAATAGCAGAATAATGAGAGAGATATTATTTAAGAAATTGTCATAACTTTTCTTGAAAGTCAAGTTTACATACAAAAAGATTATTCTGCCTCTTAAAAAGCTCAGATGATGATGTCAAGGTTTTGGAAGTTTCTGATTGGCTAATTGACAACATTTGAGTTAATTGGAGGCACAACTGTAGAATAGTGTTGAAGGGAAAGCTCAAACACACTGGAAAAAAATGGACAGAGTGCTTGAGCCGGCTTGAATTTGAAATTGCAGGGCTCAAAATTGCGACCGTTTTAGTTGCACATGTAACTTTATCGATGTGCGCTCAAAATATATTTGGGAGCATTTGTGTGATTACATAAATTGTTGCTGTTTTCATTGCAAAATGTTCACCGTGTGTGTATATATATATATATATATATATATATATATATATATATATATATATATATATATATATATATATATGGAGCTAATGATATGCCAAAACGATCTGAATTTGTGCTCATTTGAATCATTAACAATTGTAAGTTAATAAAACTGGTTATTTCATGCCGTTTAAAAATGTTTTGAGTTAGAATTTCTGACTTGATTATTGAACATCTGAAATTAAAGACGACTGGATTTTTTTAGGTCCGATTTTTAAAGACAATTTCAAACTTCAGTTTTTATTCTGAATTCACAGACTGCAAATATTGGGTTTATAAAAAAACTGTTTACATTTTCAAAATGAAGAAAGTCAGAACATATTATGTACTAAAATTCACATTGTGAAATTCAGATCTCGAAAGTCGTTAAGGGGTGATCAACAGGGGATCAGTTAGATCACAGGTGTCAAACTCAGTTCCAAAAGGGCCGCAGCTCTGTACAGTTTAGTTCCAACCCTAATTAAACACACCTGATCAAACTAATTGAGTCCTTCAGGCTTGTTTGAAACCTACAGGTGTGTTGGAGCAGGGTTGGAACTAAACTGTGCAGGGCTTCGGCCCTTTTGGAACTGAGTTTGACACCCCTGAGTTAGATGATCAACGAAAAGTCAAACTAAGCATTTTGGCCAATCACAGAGCTGTGTGTGTTTGCTGGCTTTTGTTTCGCTTCTATACTTCTGTAAATTGACTCTCAGAGGTCAGATATTTTCACTAGTTAACATACATGCTTCAGTGAAATTCCTATATTTAATTAAATTACATCTCATTGGTTAAGCAAACTTACTTAAGCATTTTTGAGGGATAAAGAGCTGATTCTGACCTATACTGTAACCTTATCCGTTAGTTAAGAAATTAAAAATCGTAACAGTTTTTAAATGGCATATTAGAGTTGGGCCGTGTCGACCAATTTGGCATCGTACGATGTCTAATATGAAACATCACAGTGGACAATGGCATCGTCGTCATTTGCAGCAGTGAATTAATTATGAATAATTGATTCATAACTAATTAATTATTTTTAGCCTACCGTTTTAGCTACCTGACCCGCATGCTCTTTGTTTTACCCATAACCGAATCATAAATAAATAAAGGTACACACATAATTACCACCTGTCAATCACTCTTTTCGCGGGACTCGTGAATAGGCAGAGTGATCGGTGTCGTTATAATGCCGTCAACAAACTTGGTTGGTAAAAAAGGTGCACAAACAACAGGAACCAGCCAACAGTGTCTGAGAATTGCGCTAAAATTACTAAGTACAAGCGTGAAAGCAAAAGATTGAAGCAGTCTACTGACCCGCTGACTGCCTGGACTCGCTGTCTCAAGCACATGACAGTGTGTGTGCGTCTGAGCCTGTGTGGTCACATGATGTGCGTTTTCACCGGTAGTTCGGAAGGAGGGCTGCTCAGAAATG